TAAAAAAAAAAAAAAGAAAAGTATGGGAAATAGCTATGAGAACTATGCAGAACAGTCATGTGACCAGAATTCACTGAGGTGAAAAACTTTAGCTTTTAATTTCTGATCCATGAACTCCTTTGGATTGTGATGCTTAATAGCGATACAGTATCCGAGATTTTCTCGCGCAATCTTTATTTAAAAAATTTTTTTTTGATAAGGGTATCTGAAGCGAGTACCATTCATGCTTGAAATTGCATCTTCTGTTCCAGATTTCATTTTCAAAGAGCCCACATAACAGTTTAAAGGGGAATGTGAGGATGGCCCATGTTATAGGTAATGTGTGTGAAATCCAGTTATTAAAAAAAGCAAGAACAAAAAAAAAACCTGATGGCCTTTTTGTAACTATGGTCATGTGACATACAGTAAATAATGCTCAGTTTGTTTGTGTGATGCCTGTACAGTAAAGGAATGACTGAAGGTTGACAGAAGCACATTATGTTATAGAATAAATGAATTAAAAATATATACATTTCATGTTTCATGTTAACAATTTAGACACTTTCCTCTCTCATGTAAAACGTAATACAATTACGAATGCCCAGCAACTAAATTCTCAATGACTTACTGCTGGCCAGTGATAACCAGCTCTGGGCCACTTCCCTAATCCTTCAATTCACTAATGTCCTTATATTGTTTTGCTGTCACAGGCTGGAAGATGTTCCATTCAGAGAAGACAAGCCATGGAGTGAGCAAACCGAAATCAGAGTTGCAGTTAGATCAGTCTCACATCCAGACCTGTGCATTTTGTGTGTGAAATGACGAAGGAGCAAGTGGGATTATGGTTTAGCAAAACTTGGATGGGATTAAAACCTTTGTGTGCTGGTGGGAAATGAAAGTAGCTATTTCTGAGAACGCCTTCTCATGATCATTTCCAATCGTTGTTTTCATCTTTTTTTAGCTTCACTGTATGTATTTGATCTATTTGCCTCAATTAAATTGGTCTAATTTGTTTTTAAAATGTTTTGTATTGTGAATATTATTGGTTGGCCTTTTAGATTTTATTACTAAATAAACAGATATTCACATAAATTGCATATATTCTCTAGATCTTTTCTTAAAAATGAAAGCATGTTAACAAAAAATGTAGGTTATTAGTTAGCTTATCATGCACGTTATCAGTGAATAAACAATCACATTCTTCCTTTGCAAGCTTATCTGACAAATCACATTCATTCACATTCAAAATACAGCAAAGCATTCTACACTTCTGTTGGAGGTAAGATGGCAGTGTTGAGGCCTTCAACAGAGACATTAGGAAACAATGAAGATATAGTGCCTTGCAAATTTAAAAAGACCCATAATCACCTCTATCATTTTATCTTGAGAATTTTTTTATCATTATTTCAAAATGCAGAAACATAGTTTATAGAGTAAATATAACACTGTTTCATATTCAGCACTATTCATAACAAAAAATAAAATGGAAATGTTATTTCTCAATGTTAATTTGGTTATTGTTATATAGATAGATATATAGATATAAAAAAAAAAAAAAAGCAATGATTAAAATAATAAAGAATCGTATATAAGACTGTGTAATCATATTCTAAAAATATCTCTATGGGACACTGTGAAATCTGATTACAGATTAAACCAGCCAGTATCCAATTCAGATACATATGTTATTTTATTGTCTTCTAACAAAGCTTATAATTGCTTTGACCTTTGACCACCATGAATTTAATGGGTTAAACATATCTGCCAAGAAACAGGGCAAAAAATTAACAAGGCATCAACATGCCATGCATTTGAATACTGTTTGGCTGCATCCAAAACCACATACTTCCATACTATATAGTAGGTGGAAAACAGTAGTATGCCCAAATTCACAGTTTATCACATTTTTAAAACAGTAGGTGAAATATACCCGGATTACTTACAATTTAGTCAAGTCAAGTCAAGTCTGCTTTATTGTCAATTCTTCCACATGTACAGCACATACACACAGAGAATTG